CTATCACTCCACAGTCTCATAGTATTACTGATCCCATCCCTTCCCCTCTTATTCTGTAACCTAAAATACCCTCAAGGAGAGGTAAACTGGTCCCAATCGTCTTGACACAAGCTATGTGCAATCATGAAGACAGCCTTCAGTCAGTACATCATTCATTTTGCTAAGACAGTTTTTCTTTTGCTGTTTGAATGAAATGTCAATCTATGGAGTCTTGAATCTAGCATCAATATCGCGTGATGGCGCAACAACAAACCTCTGGATATCGCGAGACTCTGATTTTCTCGTCACGATCTGCCACAAACATGTATCGACCATTGTTTGACATCGCGACATCAAGGACCATAGAAATCGTACCCGAAAGGGGTTCGCCCTCATATGAACTTGCTTCTCCTGAGAAAATAGTAATTGTAAAGGAGGAAAGCATATGCACGAGCGAAGGGGATAGAGCATCAATTTAGTTCACTTTGGACAGTGTAAATTTAGAGGCAGCTCCAATCTTTCCGCAAATTCAATATACTCCCTATCATGGTAAGCACTATTTAATAACATGAAGTCAGATGCCAGTGGAGCTATTAGGTTGAGGAAGAAATAGGATAGAAATTTTCACTGTTTTCTAGATTTTCAGAAAACCAATAAGAAGGATTTCATAGAGTCGGATGGTGGAGGGTCTCAGAGCTTCACTTCGACGGTTATATAAATTCTTATCAATACGTGTGGACAAACAATGATCTCACGGTCAGTTGACTGAAGCCAACTGCCAACCACTGTTTCATGAGTTCCTACAAAAGTAATACTTTGATACCCGATGCCGTCTAAATCTGCACTGTATTTTGAGGAACCTACCCAATACAGGACACTAGCACTTGATTTCAGCGCTTTCTCAAGGAATAAATCAGTTCAAAAGGTAATCTCGTCATGGATGTTTGTCTCGTCATGGAAAACTTGCTTCAATAGACATGGGGTCGTAAAAGGGGTGCCGGTAACAATAGTGACGCACCAGTTATATCGGTATACCCGCATTCGTTTGTTGGAACAACAGCATACCTGCATACGTGGCCAGCTCGATCCCCTACTACCACGTATGAAGTGTCCTAAATTGACTGGAAAGACATCAGATAAGTGTAGCGTAAATGAGACGAGAGCTTACCGTACCCTATCAAACGTTATTGAAGTTGGTGCTTTAGGAATTCGAAACCCTCTTCGGAGTGATAATGTGGGTAGCTCGAAGATAAGCACTGTCTTTGCAGACGTAGCAACACCCAGCAGCGATCCACACTTGACACCGCAGAAGAAATAAGATCTGAAAAAAAATAAAAAAAAATTAGATTTTGGTCTTTCTCTTGAGCTTTCTCCTAAGCTACAGTCACCATAATGACGACGTCGCAGCAATTTTGGGAAAAGTTTTCCCACATAAATCTTATCTATACCAGTATTATCATTGTGACACACTTCAATTGGCGAACCCCATTACATGGAGACCGAAAATTTCTCCCATCTCCAAATACATTGGTTTCAAACATTTTCAAGGCGTGGAGTAGTTCCAACGTCAGCACAACGAAGGGCGTTTAACAATGTGTTCAGATTTATCATGTGGGGCATGTAGAGATTAGTTCTTCGTGACTCAACTAGAAAAACTTTTGACACATCGCGCACGATTCGAAAACCGTTAGTGACTTTATGCAACTGTATGTGCTAAGTATGCCTCACTGCTCCCTTCAGGATGGTTCAGTTGTTCGATACTTTTGTTAATGTTTGTTCTCAACATCAGAAACAATCCAGAATCTTCTTCATACTTCTGCTTTTTGGCTGCAGCTTTTAGACCTGTCAAGGAAAAGTTCCAGGAATGAACAGCGCTTATGACGCTAAGATGGACATTCAAAACAGCGTCGATGGTTGATGACTTTAGGATTAGTTCCAGGAGAGGGGAGAAGCGCCAGGGAAAAAAAAAACAAATTGTCCCAAGTGCTGTAAGTGGCTCACTCACTTGAATATCTTCTCTTCCCACCGAGTCCCACTCACACAACGACATGAGCGCTAAAAAGTATAGTTGTGAAAACCTCTTCTGCGCGAAAGATTGGGAATGGGGAAGATGGAATACAATAGAAAAGAACAATTAGAAGGTGTCGCAGCTGATATCAAAGTAACCTGCGTACTGATATTAGATTCCTATGGATCGCTAGGACAGACAGCGACTTTTTCGCTCTCACAGCGTGAAACTTCTCTGCTTGGAGAACCCCTAGTCCAACCTGATTATGAGTGAATCTGAGCTTTCCGCGGCAGAAAAGTTTCACTCTGCGAAAAGTGAAGTCACTTTCTGTGTAAGCGACCTACACCGTAGTGATCAAAATGAGTCCTACTTCGCTATTCAACCTGTAAAATGCGCTGAAAAGACTATGAGTCTTAAAGGCAAGCCGTGTTAAAACTGGTGTATAAGAGCGCATGATAGTGATGGATGAGCTCAGAATGAACTTAAAGTGGAAAGGAAAACGAGCTATCGGAAACGCTAAAATCAAGGCCTCACCCCCTCTCCCCCTCGCGATACAGAGTATAGAGAAGTGAGAACACGCGAGAGAGACCCGTTCGAGAGAGGCACTGATCTCCACATTCAATCGCTTTGGGTGGCAAATTGTGCAAGGACAGTCCCAGTCGATGGCTGACCCTCAACAATTGGCACCCTAACGGCCAATTGATTCGACAGGCCATGGCTACGCTCTCTTTAGGATTAACAGTTACTAAATTTCTCTGCCGTATTTTCCTATTACAGTGGCAAACCCCGGAGATTGCATTCAACAGCAAATCCAAGCTTACTTAAAAGAATTTGAACGACGCCAGTTCGTTCATTCTTTACATTTCCATGAAAGCGTACCTGGATGTTTGCATCGTCGATTTTCTTCGTCTCGCGTTCCTGCTCTCCTTCCTCACATTTCTCCTTACGCGGTGGAGGTAACGAATCCGAGACTTCTTTCACATCGAACTTACACTAAAGCAATGCAAATAAAAGCAATAGAGACCCAAAGGAGACAGAGGCGGTATCAAGACCACAAAAAAACCGACTTCTATGGATAATCCGTCCGATGACATCTGAGCAACGAATATGTGCGATGAGGCACAAAGAACCAACCGGTCGCCAACTTCTTGTATGGTTGCCATTGAATGGCAGTGCAGAATTCAACAAATTACTTCACTAGGAAATGACATCTAGCTAAAGCTTTAATCATGATTACGGTTTTTGTGATATTCTGTACGACACTTGACATCAGCTGATACGTACTTCCCAATATACAGTACCCTTTGATGCCCCGTTGCTGTCCGACCGGTTTTGATCACAGATTCTATTCATGATAAAGCGACCTTTGCAGATTGGGAATAGGTATTTTTAGTTTCCCAATGGTGGTTTCTGTTTCACTCTCGGAGCAGTTTTTCTTCTGGTTGTGTCGTGTTCCTCTGGTGGGCAATCCTTATTCTCTGTCATTTACTGATTGTCTTTTCGGAGATGGATGCAGAGCACCCAAGGCCTTGGGAACATGGCAAATATTTCATTTTCAACCATTTTCAAACTCTCCTAGTTCTCCTCTTGTACAAGCAAACTACTAGTTTACCCACCCTGGAGCTTTCTCCCATCATAATACTTTCGGTTATTATAGTAATAACTCTATCACGGATCAAGCCACTTTCTCGAGAAGGATGGCCTATGCTAATTTTAGCGCTCTATCTCAGATTATTGTAACGAATTATAACTGTTGAAGCCCGTATTCTTGGGCAGCTCATGTTTCTCTATTCGATAGTGCAAGAACACGACATTGCTTTCATTATTATCAGGATTTAATCTTGAAGGGAGCATGTGATGTGGAAGTCTCTTGCTGGCCACAAGAACATCCAATTTGTAATGGAGAAGCCCGCGAGGCTGCGTCCACTCGCGTTAACTATTACACCCACCTGAGTTCTCTCCCCCCTCCCTGAAAAATGGAGATATACTTATAATGCAGTATGAACTGTCGCACCACATGCCTCCCTCCTTACTATGTGAGACCCTTCTTATTTTCGAAAGTTCAACTTCGCACATTTTGCAGCATGAACCGGCCCATCTCCAAAGCACAGCTCTTGCTTCAATCACAACAAAGAATGGATTTTCTGTGGCCACGGATTCAGGAATACGTTTCTTCAATGCACATCCACCTGTGCTATTACGGAGCTTCAGTAGAGAGCAAGTTGGTGGGGTTAATAGGTAGTGATTCCCTGCCACACATTCGCTGCTTAACACCTATCTTACTATCATTTCTAGGTAGTCGGCATTCTTCACAGATCGAATATCATTGTTTTTGTCGGTGGAGGAAGTTATGCGAAATATCCCTCAAATACAGTTATGGTGTGGGATGACAAGCAACAGGAGCTGGTTCTGGAGGTATATTGCTTTCCATGTTTAGCAGTGTGCGTAGCATCCATTCTCGTCTTCAAAAGCCTTCGCCATGCACTTTCTTTTCTCGAGCGCCATATTATAGCATTCTCACGGAAGCGGATAGAGGATAGAACATTTGCTGCGCGATCAATCCATTATGCGAAGTTATACGAAGTTATACCAATTAACCGACCCCGGAGGGATGGAAGGCTTGGTTGGCCCGGGCGACTCACGACCCAGGATTTGATCCCGGACCGCTCGCGTGGTAAGCGTGCCACTTGCCACTACACCACTTCCGCTATGCATTCACCACTTAGATTGAAAAATACCTAAATTCCTGACGGAATATTATAATCGAGAGTATCCCTTGGACTTGCCAGGCTTTAAGAGTCAATTGAAGAATACCTTCTTGAAATTACGAATCCACAGGGAACAAATAAACTTCAAAGCAAGAATCACTCATATTACCCAGTAATTTTTTCAAGATCGGTGACAGGGATCGGTTAGAAAAGCAAATAGCTGATAAACGACAATTTTTATGTAATTTCTATCGTTTTTATACCTTTAAAGTTCTGTGTAGCGAAAGTAATTCAGTAGATGCTGTTCTTTCTTCCTTCCTTTCTTTAATTGCTCTTCGTTGAGGTTACTGTTGCGGGTGGAAACGATTTCTGAACGTTTGCTAGTCATACTTCAATGTAATTTTACGCAAGAAAGAGTAATTTCATTGTTTCATTTCCAAGTCATGTATAGCTCAATTCGACGAAGAATACTGAGCAAGCACGCATTGAGGTTAATCTCAAACATCTACTCACTTATTCAAGACCATATGAAGAAAAATGTGGAAGAAGAAGTTGTGCATACTGTAACAGCAATAAAATTTGCCAATTGAGGGGCACCGTTTATTTAATAGAATGTCAAGGATGCGGCCAAAAATATGTTGGAGAATCGAAACGGCCTCTTTACAAGCGCTTGGATGAGCATCGAAGAGCGTTACAAAACCCAGCCTCTTATCCAAACAACAGCTTCTCCAAGCACCGCACCAAAAAACATCCATATGGGGAACCCCCCACATTAATCATTAGTGTATTACATCGCTCTATAGAAAACCCGCTGGAGAGGAAACTATTGGAGGCGCTAGAAATAGTAAAGGACGAACTACGTGACGCTCTACAACTATTAACTTAACTGCGTGCCCAATGTCACGCAATTTTTCATATCACATGCAATGACCGTCACAGTACGTCCGCTACTATTTAAGAAGGGGTGGTGGGTAAGTCATTTCATTTCTCTTCACTACAAAGGCGCGGCTCCCGTAAGGCCAGCTTTACACTTGCGACGGACCCAAGCGCATGTAGCGATCGCCGATCCTTTCGCTTGCCAATCGCTCTCGGTCGAGCGATTGGCAAGCGATTGCGCAATGTGCACAAGCGACGGGCGATTGGCCCCGCCCCCAGCCAATGCGGTCGGCTGCGGTATCGATCGAGCAGAGCCATTGCCCGTCGCTTGTGCACTTTGCAAGCGATTGCGCCAATCGCTCGACCAAGAGCGATTGGCAAGCGACGGACAAGCGATGGAGCGATCGCGATCGCTCCATCGCTTGTTCCGTCGCCGACTATGACGTCGGCTAATGGCAGCTTTACACTTGGCAGTGGCAAACACATGTGGGTATCAATATGGGTAGTAATTCACCAAATTATTTATATCTACTATAATCAATGTATTTCAGGCCTGAAGAAGGTGTTAAACACCGAAATATCGCGGAGGATTTCAAAAGGATTCTTTTTCAAATAGCTTTTTGCTCTTTTGAACTTTTGACTTTTGAGTTTTTGGAATTTTCGAACTTTCTGAACTTTTGGAATTCTTTTGAAATAAAATTTTGGTGCCTCTCTGTGTTATACAATATTTAAGCAGCATTTAGTTCATGCTCTCCATTGATTTCAAATGATATTTTTTTGTTCTTTTGAGATACAATCCAACAGGATTAGCGGCTATTGGATGTGACTTCAATGGTGCTTCTCAAATGTTAGCCTATCCTGGTTTCAAGGTTACGATTTGTGTTTCTCAGAGCCTTTTTTACTTCAAAATTCAAACCGATTTGTCAGCAGCGATAAGCGGTTTGCTTCTATCTACACAAATTCCAGGTTGGAAGCGTACAGCTTGTGAGTTTAAACAACATGAGTGAGTGCGCTTCCCTTTCACCGCGTGGTATTGACGCTCATCTGACTGAAATCACTCAATTAGCCCTGAATAACCAAACAACACTTCTAGCCACAGGTTCAACTAAAGGGACCGTTATCAGGTTATTTTTGGTTGTTAGTATGATATTCATTAGGTTAGATTTTATTATGCAGAATGTTTCCCTAACTTCCTTTTCACTGTTCCTTATGATGACCTAGATTTCTCTTGATGCACTATTTCTAGACCGTTCATTATAGAATTTTCGATGCCACCTCCCCTACCACTCGTTGCCTTATGGAGCTTCGTCGCGGAGCAGATCCATGTACACTCCACTGTTTGCAGTTCTCTCCGTGCTCACGTTTTCTTGCTGCCTCCAGTGACAAGGCAGGAACTTTGTGTTCTTGATATCTGTCACGTCTGTTCTTTTAACTTTTCTTTTACTCTCATGCTCCCCACATTTCAGGGCACTATCCACATATTCGCTATTAGGGACTCTGATGACGCCAAACGAGGCATATTGCACAAGGTAAGTCGTTGTTTGCCTGGCTGATTACACTCTTCCATTTATGCGATTCTTTTTAAGGTTGGTTTATCCAAAGGAGAAAAACGAAGCGCCGTTCAAATCTCGCTTGAACCACGAGTCCTTGCATGTGGTTTTATTAAAGGTATGGATTCCATTGTTACGATCTCCTCTTTCAATCCTTTCGAAATTCAAGCATAAAGTGGCCTTCAGTCAGCATTTTTGAAATGTGAAGTGATTCTACTATTATAGTTTAGTGGATCGTATGGTCGCAACTAGCTTCTCATGAGCGCATAGTCTGAGTGCACTTGATTTATCCTATGTTCCCTTCAGTTTAACAGCGCTACTCTTCCGTTCAGGGCGGAAGTGGTGTAGTGGCAAGTGGCACGCTTACCACGCGAGCGGTCCGGGGATCAAATCCTGGGTCGTGAGTCGCCCGGGCCAACCAAGCCTTCCATCCCTCCGGGGTCGGTTAATTGGTACCAGACTTGTCTGGGAGGATAAAAACACTGACTTGTACATCGGCTGGCCCCGCAAGTCATTGTAGCC